CCTAAAGAGTAATGTATAGGGAATCCCAGCACTATTTGGCCTCAATCAGGTTTCCAACTTTATGCAGGTTACTATATGGGTACTTGTCAAAATTAGGGTCCCTTTTTGGATCCTTATTATAATACCGGTACCTAATATTTAGGGTACCCAAAACGGGACCCTAATTTTGACAACCACCCATATAGGGTTTAGGGATGAGCTGCTTTATGCTGCTTTCGTATCTTTCCCAGCATGCCAGCCGCGCAAGTTCATGCAAACTCCGCGGACATGTTTCGGTTTGGAGATCACAACCAATGGAAACGAACAACAAAAACTGCCCAAGAGCCGTAAAGTACAGGATGGAGATAATGAAACGATCAGAGCTTTCAGACTCCTGACAAAGAACTCAGAAGTGCATACTTCTATAACTCAGATATAAATACATGGATGCACACTAGACAAGCATATGCATCTAGCAATACATCAATCAAGCCCTTACTTCTTCCTCGTGCTTCGTCATTTTCATCTGCTGAAACTACCAGCAGACAAGCAAGCCCGGAAAATCCTTCCCGGGTCCCTTGCTGCTGCGTTTGATTGGTATAGAGAGCGATGCATCGCTGTCAGTCTTATAGCAGCTATACTTTGCGCCCGAACTGTGTGAATCGACACCCGTCAACCCGACTAGGACAAGTTCAAACCTCCTTGGTCCCAAAACCCACAACCCTGAACCCTAAACTCCTAAACCCTGAACTCCCCCATCCCGAAACCTCCGAAAGCGCCATGCAGGTTCGCTCTATGCGCGGCCTCGCTGGGTTTGCGTGGAGGCGGTGAGAGGCTTGCGGCCTCAGGCTCTTGAGTCCTAAACCTACCCTAAGGCCCCAAAGTAGTTCCTTTTTGGGGTTCGTATATAGAATCCTATAAGGTAATCCGAAAAAGGAACTACTTTGGGGCCTATGGGTAGAGGCTCCAAAACCCCTTAAATAAGCATCATGTATTGAATCATAGTGGGGGTTCCTGTCACAATTGACGGTATATTCCTTACTAAGGGTTTTTGGAGCCTCTGGGAACCCTTTTCCTCTAATCCCGAAACCCCATATACATTGGCCTGCAAACTCATCCCTAAACCGTGGCCCCTCGACGCTAAACCCTCAATCTAGCATCCGAGTGGAGCATAAGGAACCCGAAGGAATGGTCGGAACAACTGCTCATGCTTCTAACTATTTAGGGCTTTCGGAGTTGAGCCTTTCCTCGCAATGTCTGGTCTTTCTGAAGAAAGGGCGTAGCGAATCAAAAGCCCTGTATCGGAGGTTCGGCTTCGCTAGTCGTCGCCATTCATTGTAGATTGTTCGGACCTGGCAATGAAAGGCCCAAGACGAGTGATCCTGGCAAAAGAATCCAATGGGCATCGCTTCTCATTGCTGGGCAAACTTATCATTGCTACGTCACCGGTACAGAGTTGCAGTGCATGGACGAGTTGTGTTTCCTAGGCGGGCTAACACTAAATCTGAAGCCAGAGCCCTGAACCCTAAACCCTAAAATCTTAACCCTAAACCCTGAACCCTAAAACCTACAACCTAAACCCTGAGCCCTAAACTCTGACGTCTGAACCTGAGCACCAAAGCCTCTCTAGGCTGGAGCTGTTTTGCAGAGTCCCGTTTGTAGCAATTACAAATACGGGGGTTTAGGGTATAGAGGTTCCTTATTAGGGGTATACTGTTCTGTAGTACGGGGGTTTCCGAAAATAGGGGACCCAAATCTGGTACCCTAAATAGCAGGATCCCCATGAAAAGACCCTAAATCGTCGGATCCTCATTAAAAGAACCCCCAAAATAAGGCACCCAATTTCGGAAACTCAACTGCTCTTCCTCGGGGTCCTTTGTTGTAACTCTGCTATCATATGTAATATACCCCAAAGCCTTGTTCTATACTACAAAACCTTTCTAATTGAAGCCTTGCAAGAACCGTATTGTCATTATTATGGCCCTACATCAAATACTATAACACGTTTCTGATTGAAGCCTTACAGAAACTCTATTGTCATTGTTAAGGCCCTACATCAAATACTACAACACCCTTCTGATTGAAGCCTTACAGAAACCCTATTGCCATTATTCAGGCCCTACATCAAAACTCTAATATAGGGGCCTTGATAATTAGAATTGGATTTTGGGGAATATCATACCATAATTTTTAAATAGGAACCACAAAAATAATGTAGGTAATTATTCAGGCCGCTATGTAGTAAATCCTTATAATCGCCCTACTAGTACTGCTTATAGACCCCTTCAAAAGCTCTAGTCTGATTATTTGGGCCTCTACTTGGAGGTTCATGGGTAATTATACGTGGGGTTGTAAGTAAAGTAACAATACTTATAGCCCTTATTAGGGGACTTATAACCCCCACTTATAACTACCCTATAGACCGAAAACCCTAAACCCTGAACCTCCATAGATCCCCTTAAAGGGGACCCTTAAAGGAACCCTTATAACTAGCCCTGCACCTCCAAGTATACTCTTGATGATATAAATCCTGCATTACCTTAAGGTCTCTACGTAAACTGTTTGAATTATGGTATATTCCTTAGGGTAATGCAGGATTTATATCATCAGCCGTATTACATCGAGACTCTAAACCCCTATAATTAGATCCCTTTAAAGGGGACCCTTAAAGGAACCCTTATAACTACCCAGGTATATTACATCGAGACTCTACGGCTGAGCTCTCAGACCCGCCGGCTCCTCGGGTGCCGCGCAACGGACGAGGGACCTGCGGGCACTTCCGTGCGCGAACTCAAAAACCCTACCCTAAGGCCCCAAAGCAGTTCCTTTTTGGGGTTCGTATATAGAATCCTGTAAGGTAATCCCAAAAAGGAACTACTTTGATGCCTAACCCTACCTTAACCAATCAAACCCTAGTTTTTGTGGGGGTCCCTGCAAACTCCATACTAAGAACCTACAGAAAGTAGGTAGTGGTAGTTTTTGAGCCCTAGGACTCCTATCGAACCTTAAACGCTGCCGTCCGCGATTGAAAACCCTAAACCTCAGCCTGAAAATCCTCACAGAACCCTGGACCCTGAACCCCACAAAATAAAAGGAACGAGATCTCAAACATCGGCACCTCTTTGATGCTCCGAAGATCCAGGCCTACATCCAAATAACCTACTTTTTGTTGAGGGGTTTAGGGTTTAGGGTGTCGTTAACCTACCTTTGGGAATCATCGTGAAGTTACCCCAAAAAGGTAGATTTCCCAGGGTCCAAGCACAGCAGGAGGGCCTCCAGGAGCTGGCTCGACTCCGGTCGTCGGACTCTGTACGGCCTCGGCAGCTTCGGATGGCATCCGAAGCCCGAAACCCTGCAGAAAGGCTCTTGTTGGTAGGGAGGTAGGAGTTTTCTTTTTTAAACGCCCCTTTTTCCCTACTGCTGGAGGTAGGAGTTTGGGATTCAGGGTTCGCAGGCTTGGGGTGGCCTGAGATGCTGGGATTTGGGATCTTGGTTTTGGTATCCGGAATCTTGGCTTCTCACTAACCTAGGAATAAAAGGGCTCGCTGCTTGGTATTGGTTAGTGATATCAGGATCGGAAGACCACAAACCGGGTGAAAAAGGCCCGCTGAAAGGACCCAGGAATTTCGCGACTTCGAGCTGGAAGCTTGCCTGGAACCAGTCCATGGTCGAGATAATACTAAACCAAATAAATTTCTACTATTTCTCGGGTTTATAAGTACCCATAGAAATGTAACATGTTACCCAACTATGACAAAAGGAGGTCGGCAGCCCTGTGCAAGAAAGAGGGCAGCAGAGCTCGCGACGCGCTCTTGTCGAACCTCCTGCAGCAACTGCTGCACCTCGAAGAATACCCCTTGGGTAAGGAGGCATCCCTGAGATACCGAAGTTGCCGGGCATTGATCACGAGATGTATGCATAAACCAAAACTATCGGATGCAGCCCAGATTTGGATCCTGCACCCACTGTGTTTAGCCAACGGTGGAGAGGACGATCCAAACTTTTTTAGTGACTCTGTAGGAATCAGGATTCGAAATCTAGAGTCTGGAGCTCGTGCCTGGTTTAAGCTTCAGGATTTGGAGCTTAGGGCTTGGCGGCGGCGTAGAGCCCTGAGAAACTTGTGGACATCTCTCTTGTTCATGAGTATTCACTGAAATTCTTGCACTCTGAGTGAAGCCACGCCCGCTTCTTGCACCCGATTTGGGCTAGTTATGGGGTCCATCATCATCAGCCAGCCTCGCTGGTGGACTTCTGCTGCAGCCTGCGGATGTGGCTTCACAGATATTGTGATGATTGTTTCTATTCTTCTTTGCTGATGCTGGTCTTTGGCCCGGTCTTTTGACCGCACATGCTGATCGAGATGACGATGACAACGACGACGACGATGACGACGACGACGGCGATGGGATTAGATGCTGATCCAGCTGCCTTCGACGGCTCTGGCCAGTCCGCGTGTCAGTAATGGAGCTGTAAATCAAGCAAGTGCCAGCCAACGTGCCAGCAATCCTATCCGGGGAGCCCAACGAGCACATCGATGGCACATCCAGTCGTCCGGTCCCGTGCCTCTGTCGCTCTTCTCGCCTCCTGCGCAGGACCTCTTCCCAGAAATTGGCCTGAGCACGGTGCTACAGAGGCTGACTCCACAGTTCGATGCCATGCCAGGGTCTCCGGTAGCGTTACATGGTGCAGCCGGCTATCGATCACAACTATGTCTCTGAAGCTTAAAACCGGCATGTGATTCAGTGCTGTGCACGCAAGACAGTCTGTGAGAGTTATGCATGGTGCCCAGCCTTGCCGTCGGAGACAGGCCTCAGTGAGCAAGAAGCAGCTGGAAAATCACCCGAGACAGAAAGTGCCAGTGACTCTGGTAATGATGACAACGATACCAAGGTTGCCAGACATGCGAACGTCTAATCATAAGACATATCATCGTAACAGCTCATGGCATAGCCATCATACCGCGAGCGGGGTCCGAAGGTTAGCATGTGCAGGGTAACCTCCCTCTCGCGCGAAGCCTTTTATCACCGAGCGGTGTTGAAGCGCGACCGGTCATACCAGAAGGGCTCCTCCACTCCCAGAGACAAGTATGGATTAGGACCGGCATCTACAACAATATGTCGGAATCTACTAGGACATATTCCAACATACTGCAAAACCGAAACCCGAAACAAATGATCAGGATTGTAGCCAGATGGGAAGAGTCAGATGCACCCTGTAATTGCCAGACCCTGGCCTTTCCAGTTCGGGTTGAGGGCTAGGGTTTAGGATTGGGGGTTGAGCATTTTAAGCTCAGGGCTCAGGGTTTAAAATCTGGCATCGAGCATATTTCGGGCCGTAACGCTTGTCACCCCACCTCCTCATCATCTCTGCCACGAACACCCAACCCCTTCCTCGAAGCAAAACACCTTAAAACCCCAAAACCCGAAACCCCAAACCTGAAACCCGAAACCTGAAAACCCGACACCCCCAACCTGAAACCCTCAAACCTGGCACCCCAAAAGGTCCTCTTCGCCATCCTCTTCCTCGACCACTTCCGTGGAGCAAAGACAAAGATCCTTGCTCTTTTGCAGACAGATCCCAGCTGGCGTTTTCGGGTTCAGAGATCAGGGGTTTAGGGTCAAGGGTTTAGGGTTCAGGGATCAGGGTTTTAGGGTTTAGGGTTCCGGGGTTTAGGGTATCTGATGGTGTATGGCTTGCTAGATTCTACAGGTGCAGTACAAAGCCATGGAGAGTGGCTGTCTTCCATGGCGCCGCAGCCGCCGATTCTCTGAACCCCTGAGCCCTGACATCCGGAACCCCGAGGTACCAAAACACTAAACCCTAAACCCTCAACCCTGAATCCTAAACTCTCAACCCTAAACCCTAAACCCTACACCGAAAACCCTGATGGCACCCAAGGATCCGGAAAGATCCTGTTGGAGGCATCGGTTGCCTCAGCCGCCATGCCGCTGAAAATCGGAAGCGCAAAGACCAAGCTAGCAACAATAACAACAAGGACGATCAGTTTAAGGTTCAGGGCTTTAGGGTTTAGTCCTTAAGTAGAGGTGGTAGTAATCAAAGCCACAATATTTAAATTTGCTAGTGAAGCCATCAATATCAAAACACTCTGCAGCTGTCGTGCTTAAGGTTGCAGGTCTTCGTCGCAGGTTTGAGGTTTAGGATTTAGGGTCAAGGTTTGCGGTCCAGATTACTGGTGCTTTTGCCCGTCGCTGTTAGGGTTTAGGAGTTTAGGGTTTAAGGCGGACTTGTTGTTGCTGTGCTGGAGGCGGCCGGTGACGGTGGTGTTTACTGGATGCTGGTGGTGGATTCGAAGCGTGCGGCACTAGTACTAATCTTGACGTAGAAGTAAGTCATCGTAGCAGTAGCAGCACAAGCAGTAGTAGCTCCAGTGGTAGCACTCTCAGCAGCAGCAGCAGCCCATGATGTTAATGATACTCTTGCCTTCCCCTAAACTTAGGCCCTAAACCCTAAAACTGCTTCGGGATCCTGGGATCAAGGGTAAGGGCCTTGGGCCCAAAGCGTTTAGGGATTAGGGTCGAGGAGAGTTGCAGCTCAGGGCTTTTGAATGCAAGGTTGTAGATTGTAGCTTGACAGTTTCAGTGCTTAGGATCTACAGGTGGCCTGCGAGGGTTAGAGCAGTACGTGCTCAGCAGCGTCATGCAACCCAAGCTGCAGAGTTTTGCGAGGCGATTCCTGTCAGAAGCAGGGTTTGAAACCTACTTTATACTCCTGTCCCTCTCCTCTTTGAACAATTCGCCTGCACAAGATTGTCGTACCCCTTCTAGTATGCATCTTGTCGCTGTTGCTAGTCGTTTTGGTACAGAATGTTACTCCTGCAGATTCCGGCTGTGCATGCATCTGTTGTCACAGATCGAATCCGCCCATTCATCCCCAAAACAGCGAACGAGCAACTCGCGGTCAAGCCCCTGTAAACCCCGAACCCTACCTATAGTCTACATTGTAGTTCTTTTTTAGTTTGACCAAATTTATATTATAGGGTCCTGACCTCGAAATTGGCTAACCCAAAAAGGGACTACAATGGAGATTCTTTTTGGTGGATCCCAACCCTAAACCCCGGCCTTGCGCCGCCTCCGCGGTGTCGAGCTCCCACATGCAGCGCATCGTTTCTGGCTGCACATGGTGAACGACCTTCAAGCTTTGTAGGGCTTAGGGTTCAGGGGTTTAGGATGGTTTAGGGTTTAGGGGTTTAGAGGTTAGTGTGAACGACCTTCAAGCTTTGTGAATCCGAAGGTCAGGGTTCAGAGCGCTAGAGGGCTGGGGTTGGGTTTTTCAGATGCTTTTCGGATAAGGTGCAACACCTGGAGACCTAAGTTTGAGGGGTCAGGCCAACAACCCGTGAGACCTCTAGCTGAGCCGCAGGCCCAAAAAAAGCCATGTCCGTGCAGAAGCTGAGGTCAGCACCCACGTGCGATTGTGTATGTTGGAGAAGGTGGAGTTGCCTCAGATCAGCTCATGATTAGTAACACTGTCCCCATATAGTCTCTGTTTGGTTTGTTCTGGGCAAACGCCATCCTCGAATCTATCCACCCCTTAGAAACATAGTCTAAATACTGTGTTTAATAGTCTCTTGGGTCTTGTATGAACAAAAATACAAAACAGTTCCTAAGGAAACTACTTTGGATCCACCGAGGCTTCAATATCTAGATCTACCGATGCCCTCAACTATCCTCAACTCCTCTACACAGATTTTGCCGTGGTGGCGAATTGGACCAAGAAGTATGTTGATGTTTCTGTCTACCGAGCCTTCAGAATCAGCTCAAATTCTGCAACAATTCTGGATACCACCTCGGCTTCAACCCGAAATTGAAGATTTCGGTCGACCTCGCACGGTTTTGGTGGTTTTCTATACTGAACTTAGAACCCTAACAAAAGTGATAATTTTAGCTGTTTCTTAGGGATTATAATAGCAAAAAATAAAAACCTATTTCTAAGTACCCCTGAGTCTCACCCTTCCCCCGACCCACCGGGCCCGGGAATGCTCGGAGCTTTCCCATCGGCTTTCGACGGGTTTGAACTTGGTTGGTTGCTTTGTGAGTTTGTTGGTTTTGTAAGTAGGTTGGTTGGTTCATGGTTCGTTGGTTTTGTAAGTTTGTTGGTTGCTTTGTGAGTTTGTTGGTTTTGTAAGTATGTTGGTTGGCTCATGGTTGGTTGGTTTGTTGCGTGCTTGGATGGATGGTTGGTTGGGTGGGTGGTTATGGGTGGGTGGTTAGCTGCTGGGTGGCTGGGGCTGGGTCGGTCGGTCGGTCGGTGGAGGAAAAGGCTAATATACCCAAAGCTCCCTTTTCAAAGGCTGGGTCTCTCTGCGGGTCTAGCAACCAGGTAGCAGGCTGGCATCTCTCCGGAAAACTCTTGACTCTCGTGGAAACAGGTCAGGTACGGCAGTGGTAAAGTTTAGGGAGTTCAGGGTTTAGAGTTCATGCCGGGACGGTAGAGCTGGCACCTGCTCGAATCACCGTAACTTCTCTACCCCTGAACCTACTGAGCTGGAAAGAACAACTGGCAAGCTTGCGTAGACTTTGCATGGTTAGGCCCAGTCGCAGGATGGGTTGAGGGAGAAAGAGTTGAAATCGCGATCATCCAGGTTGATGGACATGCCGCCTTGCACCTGTCCAGCGACTATGGCGACGCAGAAAACGGAACCTAGCATAAGCACCACTACTACTACTACTACTACTACTACTACTACTACTACTACTACTACTACTACTACTACTACTACTACTACTACTACTACTACTACTACTATATACTACTACTACTACTACTACTACTACTACTACTACTACTACTACTACTACTACTACTACTACTACTACTACTACTACTACTACTACTACTACTACTACTACTACTACTACTCCTGCTACTGCTACTGCTCCTGCTCCTGCTCCTGCTCCTGCTCCTGCTCCTGCTCCTGCTCCTGCTCCTGCTCCTGCTCCTGCTCCTGCTCCTGCTCCCTCCTGCTCCTGCTCCTGCTCCTGCTCCTGCTCCTGCTCCTGCTGCTGCTGCTGCTGCTGCTGCTACTGCTCCTGCTCCTGCTCCTGCTCCTGCTCCTGCTCCTGCTCCTGCTCCTACTGCGACTGCGACTGCGACTGCGACCGCGACCGCGACCGCGACCGCGACCGCGACCGCGACCGCGACCGCGACCGCGACCGCGACCGCGACCGCAACTGCGACTGCGACTGCGACTGCGACTGCGGCTGCGACTGCGACTGCGACTGCGACTGCGACTGCGACTGCGACTGCGACTACTACTACTCCTAGTACTGCTTGATGTTGGGATGCACCGCAAAGCGGTGGAGCAGCTGAGCAGCAGGCCAGGCCGGCGATCAACACGCCAACCGCTGGATCATCGGGATGCGGGACGGTGTTAGCAGCTGCCTGCAAAAAGGAACATAGGGCCCCAAAAAAGCACAAAAGCAAACATGAGGGTAGGGATATCGCATACAAACCCCCTTTAGAAGGAAGGCCAATAAGGTAGGGATATCCCCATAAAATGCTTCTGCTTATGTGCTTTGCGGTCTCTAAGAACAGGATTGCTGCAGACGTGTTGTCTGCTTGTGTACGGTGCTAAGTACTGTAGACCTTCAGTCGATTTGGTGACGCAGTCGGATGCAAAAACAACATGATTGCTTCTGACCCCAAACCTGAAGCTCCCAACTCTTCCTCGTAAACCAAATGTACCGTAGCCCTGCCTTGCATCTCCACAACCTTCATTTCTTCAGGAAATTACTATAAATGCTGAGTTCTAGAATTTGTATGGACCCAAGGATCAAGCAGGGGCTGGTAGTTTCACGAAGTTCATACACCCGATGCACTGTAGCCCGAAAAAGAATAAACCTGCCAAGACTCTAAGCCCAAGTCCCTAAACTCCGAACCCAAATCCTATACATCATCCCATCCTTGAATCCCCCAGACCCTGAATCCCTACACCCTACCTGTAGTCTCCATTGTAGTTCCTTTTTTTGGTTAACCAGTTTTATGGTAAGGACCCTATAATAGAGATTTTGGTTAACCAAAAAAGGGACTACAATGGAGACTATAGGTAAAACCTAAACCCCAAAACCGTAAAACCCTAAACCCTGAACCCTTAAACTCTAAAGCCTAAACCCCCAAACCATGAAGCTCTAAACCCTAAGCCCTAAACCCCCAAAACCGTAAAGGTCCGGCCTCCCCAAGAATTTCGCCTGCTCGCTCCTTGCGCGGCTACAGCTTCCGACTCGGGAGGCTTACTTGGAGGTTCATGGGTAGCTCCCTTTAAAGGGATCTATAGGGATTCCTTAAGGGTATAGGGTTTAGGGCCTACTTGGAGGTCATTTTGGGTTGTTATAAGTGGGGGTTATGAGTCCCCGAATAAGCGCTATGAGTATAGTTGCCTTACTTATAACCTCACTTATAGCTACCCATGAACCGTTTAGGGCTCTCAGCGCTTTCACACTTAGGGTAATGGAGGGGCCTCAGTGATTAAAGTGGGTTTAAGCCTTGGCTTGTAGGGTTAATCGGGATTTGGAGTGCAAATTGCTACGTATCCTGGCTCCTATATGATCAATCAAGGGCTGCACAAAGAATACCTTGTGTCATCCTCGCGGCTCCTATGTGAGCACTGTTGCGGAGGCTGTCCCCAAAACAGCAAACAAAACCCAACTTGCCTTTTTGCAGTCTTCGATGCGCTGTTTCATCCCCTGAACCCTAAACCCTGAACCCTAAACCCTAAACCTTAAACCCTAAACCTTAAACCCCTAAACGCGAAACCCGTTCATCGGCCCGACGGCTCCTCAACATCCGCATTGAAGGCTTCCACAATGGCCGCCACCAGATCTGCAGACATCGCCCAGAGCAAACCCCTAGCCTCGGTAATTTGGGTGTTGTTTAGGGTTTAGGGTTTAGGGTCATCGGTAGTCGTCAAAGTTCGGGTCCCTTTTTGGGTACCCTAAATAGTAGGTGCCGTATTACATTCGGGACCCAAAAATGGGACCCTAATTTTGACAACCACTCACATGCTTCCGGGTGTTCTGGGGCCCTACCAGACATCTCTTCCGGTCAAGCAGACACCAAGAAAAGGAATGACGGCGTTCATGTTCCCTCCTAGTTCGTTTTGGACGAAGGCGGCGATGAGAGTTGACAGGACTGCTGTCATGTTAGAGGTTGAATGCAGCACTCCACGGGTCGATGTGGAATATATGCGGCATCGGGTACACATGTGGGCCCCGTCAGTTCTGAAGCCCCCATAGCGCCTGGGAATTGCTGGCGGATATCTTAATCAGTCCTGCGACTACTGTCACGGCCGCAGCTTCAACGTTGATCTTTGCTTTCAGTTGTTTCAAAGAAGAACCAGACGCGGCTCTTGCGGCAACCATGCAGCGTGCTAGCTGGTTTCCACATCATACCCACTGCCGTGAGCTGCTAGCATCGGCCGAGCGTCGTAGGGTGGGAAGATGTCTCCCCAGGACGGATGATCTTGCTTCGGGAACTGCTCGTAGGAGTTGTAGTGCTGATGCTCAGGATCCTCCCACAGTTCGCTTTCGTTAGAGTTTAGGGGTTCGGGATGTTCAGGGATTAGGCGGGTTTCGGGTTTAGGGTTCGAGCATTAAACGACAGTGCCAAGACAGAAGCTTGCAGACGGCAAACCGTTTGCTCCAGAGTGAATTCTGGTCAGATTAACAGAAAGCTAACCACACGCATGCAAATGAAGAATTTACTCCAAGCTGCTCTAACCGGACTGGAGCCGTGGTCTATCATTCCCCACAAATAGCCTCGGTCATCGCTGTTCTGTGTTGGCATGCTTCTGATTGTCGCAGTCATCGCAGAAACTGCAACTGGACTCTGGAGTGGTTCGCTCGCAGTAAGCCGAAAGTCATGAAAGCTGTTCAACCAAACCCGAGCTTGCTGCAACCCGCAAGAGCTTCGTGCTTCTGCCCAAAGGGCAGTTGAAAGGCGAAGATTCTGAGACAATCCGCCACCAACAGTTCAAATCGCTGTGGAAGCTTCACGACTCTCGTGCTGCGTGCGAAGACTATCCGATACGCGTGAGCGAATCATGCACTGCGTTTAAAGTACCGGTCAAGACACGCACGGGAGGCCGACTGGCCAGCTGTGCCAGCAGAGCTGGCGCGCGCAGGTACACGTCGTCATCGTGCCGCACCAACCACTGCAGGTTTGGATACCTTACTTTCGGGTTCTGTGAGCTATCATGTAGTACGATTACATTAAGGAATATAATACTCGTCGTTCTCCAGGCCCTTATCTTGAAGAAGGAAATCTGCAACTTCACGGAAAAGGTTCAACCGCAGGCAACGAACCCTAATGAACCCTAAACCCTAAACCCTAAAACCCTAAAACCTAAACCCTACACCCATAAAACCTTAAACCCAGAAACTTCCAGAAACCCTAAACCCTTAAACCCTAAAGCCCTAAACATCAAGTGCCAGCCTGGGAGCCGCTGTTCGGCCCAACTCAGCATGACCAGTGCCTTCAGATTAAGCATGGTTTGGGGTTTATGGGGTTTCAGGGTTTAGGGGTTTGGGGCTTATAGGGTTTAAGGGTTTAGGGTTGGGGTGTAGGGTCCTTCAGATTAAGATTTCCGTTCGACTCCACAGTTCAAGGCTTGTTTCTTCATGTTCAAAGTTTCGGGTTTACGATACGGGTTTAGGGCTCAGGTTTTTTTTTGAAAGCCCCTTTTCGTAACTGCAGACCGGGTTTAGGGGCTGGGGTTTAAGGACACTTTAAAGCAAGGTGCCTTCAGATTTAGAGTTCGGTATGACTCCACAACCGGCAGCTCCACGACGTCGCCCTTGTCAAGGTCGTGCAGCTGATGGGACCTCCGTGCGGCTCCAGTGTCCCTCTTGGGGGTTACAGCTTCAGTTTGTGTTGTTTGCAGGATGCGTCAGGGGCCTAGCCGACCTAGCCCTTTCACCTCTTCCTCTCACCCCAGACCGCTAAACTCCTCCACGCAGAGCCCCCAACCAGCTTAAACCCTAAAACCCTAAACCCTAAACCCGAAGCCCCTAAACCCTAAACCCCTAAACCCCCAAACCCTAAAACCCTAAGCCCTAAAACCCAAAAGTGAAGTCTGGAGACGCATTGGCTGCTGTTCCAACGAAGAATCGCTGCACCACAGCTGGCGCCTGGCCACGTCAGGGCTTCCGGCAATTCTGGCGATTATATTAAGAAAAACCGGACAGCGAATGTACATAGTAGTCGTAATACTAAACGTATATATGATATATCATATTAAAGGTAGGAGGAGAATACTGCGAATTGCCATGAGAGTTGGCCCGGCCTTCTCAACCAGGCTTCGCCCCCAGGTGTCCCGAAGCACCTGTAGGCAGCAGGCGGCTTGCGGGGCCAGGAGTATCTTCATGCTGCAAAGGCGGGGCGTCCTCGTGAGGCTCTGATCCATCCTTTTTAGGGTTTACCCTAAAGCCCCAAAGTAGTTGCTTTCTGGGGTTCGTATATAGAATCCTTTTAAGGTAATCCGAAAAAAGAACTACTTTGGGGCCTGTGGGTAGGGTTTAGGTCGCATTGTGCCCGAACTGGCCTGACGCAGTTCGTGCGCAGATCTTCTGGACATGACACAGAAGACCACAGCCACGGCCTGTCGTGAAATCAACTCATCGCTGTTGGAAACCCTAAACCCAGAACCCTAAAGCCTAAACCCTGAACCCTGAACCTTGAACCCTAAGCCCTGAACCCTAAACCTGGAACCCTAAACCCTAATTCCCGCCTTATCGCTTGGTTGCCGGTCCCCTCAGATGAGAAGCACACTTTTGTTCGTCCAGCGGGTCGTGCCAATCGAAGTACATACTACATCTAGCGGCATCAGTAGTTGCCGAAGAAGAACACAAAAAGGTCGATGAACTTTATCAGGATCACAGCCATGCTGGTTTCAGCCGAGCTGTGGCCTGGTCGAGGTGGCGGGGTGGTGGCGGCCCTGAAACATCTTGAGACGAAGGCCCCGGACAACCATGAACTGTTCCAAGTCGTCAACCTGGCAGTGCAACGCTGAGTCGGGAATCGCCCTGAGCATTCCCGCCTTATCGCTTGGTTGCCGGTCCCCTCAGATGAGAAGCACACTTTTGTTCGTCCAGCGGGTCGTGCCAATCGAAGTACATACTACATCTAGCGGCATCAGTAGTTGCCGAAGAAGAACACAAAAAGGTCGATGAACTTTATCAGGATCACAGCCATGCTGGTTTCAGCCGAGCTGTGGCCTGGTCCACCCACCCCACCCATGGGGCAAGCTGCGAAGCGTCTGGAGAAGCAACAAAAACAGCGTAAGGAAGTCCACCGGGCGGGTAGGGAGGGAGACGGTGACTTGTGGTGCACCCACCATTGCTGGAGTTGACGGCGAAGCTGTAGGCGTAGCCGCAGAGATTGAGCTCGTGCCGCTCGGGGCGGTTACCAGCACCTCAAGGTTGGATGGCCCCTCCATCCAGGCCTGATAGAGCCACTCAATCAGCGAGGCCTCCAGGTCCGCTGCAAGCACCGACATCTGCGCGAAGAGCTCATGGAGAAGCCGACCCGTGAGGCGTAGCAGCAGTTGCGCCACCATCCTTACGCCCATGGCGAGTACAAAGGCTACGAGGCGAGGGAAGAATGCCAGCACAAGCAGCAAACCCAAAGTCCTCAAACTCCACCATCTCAAGAGGTATACCCGAGCGGAGCTCGGCTCCACCTGTGGGGCCTGCACGGGCCCTACAACTCGCAGTGGTCGCGCCTGCACTGGGCGGAGAGGTCCGTCAGCAGCAACATGAGTGGGGAACACGGCAGCAAGGCCCTCACGCAGCTTAGCCAAGAGCGCGGTGAGCCGCTTCCCTTCGGGTCCGGAGCGCCACCGAGTCGCCGTCTGCCGTGTGGAACTATCCGCAAGGACTTGCGCGGCACTGAGGCCAGAGATGATATCCTCATCACCCAAAGCCGTGGTGGCCTGATTCATAGCCTCCATCAGGACACCAGCCGCCCTACAAGGTCCACTCACAGATTTAGCATCGGAAGGGGCCGATGCGGGAAGTGCTCTTGCCAAATGCTCTCTGCCATCTGCCGACTCTGTCGCCTCTAGAATTTTCCATTGGCCTTGGTAGAGCCCGACCCTTTCTGGTGACGAAGGGTTCACAAGGACCAAATAAAGCCGATGGTCGGTATGATACTGCACGCTAGACCCGCAAGGAATCCTGCCAACCGCAGTTGAACCCTCAGCAGCAAGCTCAGGACCAGTGTACTCGGACTCCGCGCCTCCGGCAGCGCGAACGATTGATGGAGCCGGGTCACCAGCGAGCACCCAAGGGCTTTCAACCTGCAACTCCTCCAAGGCGTCCGCGAGCTCCCGGAGGGCCCGCACTACTCTTTGCGACATGGCTTGAGCAGCTCAAGTAATGGAACAGGCGGCGGAGCAGCAAGCCGTCTAACATGTTGATGCGCCAGCGCAAGCTGCTGTACCGCGACCTCGGAGAAATGCATAGTGGTATACATCGAGAATGCCATATGCAAGTAATGACGAAGCGTGCTGGCCTTAGCCCAGCGCCCCATGTACTGGAGCGCCGCCAGATTCTCGCTTTCCCTGAAAGCGTGGGTAGCTCCCCCTGCCCGCATGGAAGCAGGCGTATATCCCACCTGCTCCAAGCCGAGGGTTTCCAACGCCAACCTGAAGCGAGCCGCCCACTGATGTCGTTCGAAAGGGAATACACGACGTCGTGCGGACACACCCTCAAGCCACCAGCGCATCCAGCTGATGACCACTTCGTTTTTGACTAGGATGAACTGTGTACGATAAATCCGGCGAGTTTTGGGCTTTCGGACGACGATGACCATCCCAGGTGAATCGCTCCCTTCACTGGCTCGTACAGGCAGGGTAATGTCCTCCCGCTTAAGGGCCAAAAGCTCACCAGGTCGCAATAGGGCTACGAACGACAACCACGAGCCCAACATCACTGCCCACCATAGAAAACGTTCATGGCCGCGAGCAGCACCTCCTTTCGCCAGACACGTGAGTAGAAACCCTTGGAGAGTATACCAGGTTATGGGCAACCGTGAGCGGGTCGGCAACAGCGCCCGCCAACTCTTCAAAGTCATCCACGTACCCGGCAGAGATGTGCCCCCAATCCTCCAAGCCCGCTGGATACCTAAAACGCCCGCTACGACATAATAGAGCCTCTCTCCATTGTTGTGTGCATCCTCCACTGCTTTCTCTAAGTAGCGATCTAACCGGCTGACCTCAACACGTCGAGTGAGCCGCCGTCCACTCACGCGCCCCGCGCGATTCAGCAGATCAGTAGCTGCTTCCAGCAGCCGCCGCCTGTACGCCGGAGTCAGCGTGGCATCTTTCAGCCGCGGCCCCATGCATCCACTCTCTCGCAGCTCTCGCAACAAGGTGACAGAACTCCCAAGGGTAGGCAGCACTTTGAGTGGACTTTACTCCCTTCAGGGGTTGATGATGATGCTCATGTCCCCCGGTGCAGGAACGAAGAACTTCTACTCCCTGTTGGTTCGCGAGCCACGGTAAGTTGAAGCACAGCCGGGTGGGTTTCTTAGCGGGGAGCTCCGCCCGACCACAATCCGCGTAGGCACACCAATTAACTCGACGCAGCTGCACTGACTCATCAGCAAGTAAGGGTTGCGTCTCATCTAAGCTCCACGCCCTCGAAGTCGCGGGGTGCACCAAGCAGAAATAGCCTCCAACTGACCGGATCATGCTAACAAGCTCCAACGCTCGTCTCCAGAATCTGTTCCCCTGCGCAACCTCGTCGATACGCTCATCTCCTTCGGGAAGGCCACGGGGTCGCAGAGGACCTGAGGGTTTCAAGTTTCGGAGAGGCGAAAAAGACGAGCAAGGCGGCGTCAGCCACAGCCACAATACACTCCCGTTGAGGATGAGAGTGTCCAGCTCGGCGCTGAAGACATCGAGGCCCTCACCAAGTCCGCTCGGCATGTGCATAGCGCATCCGGCCTCACGATGAGCCGTAGTGATGCGCGCAGAACTCGTAAACACCTCCAAACCCCATCCACCCTTCGGCCCCAAGCCCCATCGCTGCATCCACCGAGTCGGAGGCCTGGGAGCCGGGAGCGGAGTGAAGCGAGAGGGAAAATCTGCTGGGTTGGAGGATGTCTCAGTCCACAGCAATGCCACAGCAACGTCTCCAAACAGCATCTGCGGGATAAGCGTCCTCAACAACCCGTTCACTTTGAACGAAGAAGAGCGGCCCTTGGAGACCGCTCCTACGACGACCCGTGAATCGTTGATGAAGAGCTGCACCCTGCCTCCTTCGGAGTACTGCGCACACACCTTGCAGAGCTCGCGCTTGAACGCTCTCAGCTCTTGTAGGTTAATGTGTGAAGTTTGGCGGAACGTGTAGCTCGAGATCACCTCCCACTGCAAACACTCCGCTAGGGAGCTGGCGAATTTGCTTGGTTCCTGTGGCACCGTGGCATGCCAGGCAAAGTCCGAGTCCTTATCCAGGCGGACTGGGGCACCTTTTGCATCCGAAAGTCGCCAAAGCTCCTGAGCAATAGGCCTCGGTAGCGGTGCTATCGTTGCCCCGCCCGTCGTAGGCGTCGCATCGGAGGCAATCAAGTTGTGCCCCAGCGACCGCCTCATGCACCATGTTGCAAAGGGGAGATGGAGGGCAATGGAGCGGAGCTCGTCAACAATATGTTTGGGTAGGTACGTCCACTTGCCCTCCTTCATGCCACGAATGAACTTATAGATATGGTGTTGTAAAGCATAGAACTCTCTGCGGTACTGGAAAAAGAAACAGACTGAGCCCAATGCCTTCTGCAAAATCGCCCTGGTACAAAAACCAAGCTCGATGATCCTGCGCAGGACGTTCCACAGTTGACGACGTGCCTCCAAAGGTGCTCCGGCCCGACCTCGAACTCCGTCGACTTGAGCGCCCCAAGCCTTGAAGTGCACGACGCTCCGGAAGGCTTTGTGCACAGCTCTCTGCAAGCCCGCCTTCTCGTAAGCCACTTCTGCGGCCTTCACCTTGAGCACATCCGGGTCCTGCGGGAGCGGAGCGGGGGGCACAAAGCTACCGTCAAGGGCGACCTTATACTTCAAGCGATGCCTGTAGGTGACCAGGAGGTCGTCCAGGTAGATCCCCTCCCAGACTCGACCTCGAGGAACTGGCTCTCCGTAGATTAGGGTGCTATTCCCATCTAGAAGGCCTTCTCCTTGTAAAACCGCTTCGTGAACCGCCTGAGCGATATCACACCCGTTTAGATCGCCCATCCCGAGGACTCGCAAACAAGCCCGATGAGGTACACGAGCATCCAGGCCAGCCTCAGTGAGAATCTCCTTCTCCACACGGCGCCCGAAAGCGTTAAACCTGAGCCAGTTTGCGGGGAGAGCCAGGGTGTAATAGTAATTCCTGAGATCGTCGCCTGAACCTCGGAGATATTCGTCATCCTCTAAAAGAAGCCGGCAGAAACAAGCCCCATTGGGTAGCCGCGCCCAGTTCAGTTTCTTCATGGTGGCATTCTCGGGCCTCCGGTCAAAGATCATCCTATCTTCAACTTCGTTCTTAGCCACACAGAAAAGACCGCCAAGGAGGAGCTTGCCAGCCTCATTCCTAGGGAGCTCTGCTTCGGGCAGGAAGGTGATCATCCCAGCCCTCCAAAGTTTTCGAAGGAGCGGGGTCTCCTCACTAACCGGCACTCTGTGACAAGCGACACCAGCCTCCTTCCACGCGACCTCGGGGAGACGAAGATCTTCCATGTGCGCAACGACCTGCGCCCGGTCGGGAGGAAGATGTAAACAGGGATCGACACCTCCAGCCGCCTCCGGGATGGCAACGCGCTCAGCGACCACCGGCAGGGCCGTAGACAAAGAACTCGCATCAACCTTGACAAAGTGTCCATACGATGCACCTGTACATGACGCCAATAAGTCTTCCAACTCCTTACGCTTCCCTGAACTTGACAGGGTCCCTTTCAGGAGTTCTGGCGTAATGAATTCCATCACCTCGCCAAGCAGCTTATCCGCAAAAGGCCGAATGCCCTCTACACTGCGGTAGGCCACCCGCGGCTCGAGCGCTCCCGAATCATCACCAGGACATCCCAAACTGACGAAGTTGGACCAGGCCACCAACGTGTTTACGAAGGCCTTAGCCCAACCTGTTTCCTCCGAGATGAGTGGTGAGCAATCCCTCTGCAACAGGGCCTCCGGGTAGGGCAGGGCACTCGGAAAAAGTGGAACATTTGTACCGGACCGCTCCAGTAGAAGACCTTGGGCACCTTCAAACCACGCTAAATACTTCATAAAACGGGATGAATTCTTTGACGGCAGAGAAGGAAGAACTGTGCGGTTTCCCTGCCTCGCATGCAAAGATGTTCCAGGTTTCACTTCTTTGGCGCTCGAGCGCCCCCTTCCTCGATCTCGTCCTCGTCCTGATATCCTCCATGGGGAGCCTCTCGCACCTTCTTCCGAAGCTTGCCCAACGCGCTGAGGTAGTCGCTGATCACAGCCATTTCTTGTTTGGTTCCGCCCCACTCCTTTTTCACTAAAGGATCCGGGAGCCCAGTTAAAAGCCATGCCGCCGACCAGTCCCCGAACTGGATGACCGCTTGCGTCTTGGCCTTGATGTTCTGGGCAAGCTGCGCTGCTGCGGCTTGGTGCTCGCCATTCCGCAGGAGCTCGTAGGCAGCTGCATCCATGATAGCGCATCGGTACAGGCCTTTGTACTTCCCCCAAGCCTGGCGGCGGATGTACTCCTTCAGCGTCCAAGCCTGGCCCGGAATAATACCCATCTCGTCCACGATCTCTTTCTCGAACTCGGCGCAGATCCGAGTAGGTCGCTCCATGATGCGCTTGTGCATCTTGTTCAACGACACCATAGCCTTCATCCCGCTGCGATTGAGGTCCTCGCCCTCGCTTCCACTGTCGGAGTCGGAGCCACCAAGGGGATCGTCCCGCCGCTCCTTTCGCCGGCGATGGCCGTCCTGCTTCATGAGCATGGTGAGCATTGCTAATGGTAGCAGATCTGAAGGGCTCTGACCCCTTTCCAAGCCACTGCGCACCAAGTCGCTGAGCTGCAAGTTCTCCTTCTCCTTGTCTTTCTTCTTGACCTTCTTGCCGGCGGCACCGGGTGGAAGCATCCCCTGCGATGAAGAAGCTGCCTGGCTTCGATGAGGAACGGGCTCGTCCTCCTCCTCGTCGCTGTCGCTTTCGGCATCCCCAAACACTTGGCTCAAACCCTTCAAGTCTCGCTCCAAGCCGCGAACTGCACTTCGCCGCGCGCCCGGCGTAGCTGTCCTTCCCGGGATTTCGGCCCCACTGCTCTCGATCTGCTTTTGTTCCAGCGCCTTCCATGCCTCGGTGCACACCTCCAGTGAATACAAGTCTCGTGGCCGGTTTCCCCGCCAATCTGCTGGAACACTGAGGGTGATGCTTTCTTGGGGCACCTTGATGAAGCGAAGATCGTATCCTGGCTTGTTTGCTGCCTTGGCTTTCTTAGCCACCACGGAATTTGTAACTTTTGCACCCTCTACCGCGTCCGTAGCGAGCACCACTTCAGCTGTGCTAGCTTCCACCACCCATCCGCACAACGGAATTGATAGGCCGTCGCTGTCTTTGCACAGCACATACACTACATCTCCCGTGGCCGCCATGGCAACCTATCCTTTCCCCTGAAACATCTTGAGACGAAGGCCCCGGACAACCATGAACTGTTCCAAGTCGTCAACCTGGCAGTGCAACGCTGAGTCGGGAATCGCCCTGAGCAATCCGTCACCACAGCTATCGAAGAAACGGATCCTCTGTCTCGAGTGCTCGGCCCGACTTCGGCCCTTCTCCAGCTGGAATAGCAGGGGGATGTTTAAGAGGCTTACTGTAGGGGGGGGTTCAGGGTTGAGGGTTTGGGGGTTGAGTGCTTTGGGGTTTATAGTTTCAAGGGTTTAAAGAGAGGCCGACTCTGAAATAGGTCTATATCTATACCTTGAACTACCAAAACCTCTGAAGTTCAAGCTGAATGCTTGTAATGAGAACCTACAAAACAGCAGGTTATGGTAGATTTTCAGTAAACCCTAGACCTTTCAGTCCCCCAGGCCCTAAAGCCCAAACTCCCTGAGCACTACAGCCCTAAACGCCAGAGCCTCTCAGCAGTAAGACTATGGATTCTAAGAATCTGATAGGCCACCACCCAAAAGTGCCGTGTAACAAGCGGTTAACCCATACGCCCCCCTCCCTCCACCACATTTAAACACACCCTCTCAAAACCCCAGAAGCCTTGTCCATACATGCCGATAAAGCTACACGACTGCGCGTGTTCTAAACTAAATCCAGACACGCCCTTTCTGAATCCTTTGCGAAAGTCCTACACCCTAAGCCCAAAACCCTAAACCCCCAAACCCTGACTCCCTGAACCCTAAACTCCAAAACCATAAACCCAAAACCCTAAATCCAAAACCCGAAACCCTAAACCCACAAACCCTAGACCCTAAACCCCCAAACCCAAACCCCAAATCCCCAAACCCTAGAACTCAAAACCCTAAAGTCTGGATCCTAACTCCTAAACCCCTAAACCCTTAGGGTTTTAAGGTTTTAGGGTTTATTCAACCCTAAAACCTTCAAACCCTAAGCCCTCGAAGGTCCTCGTCTGGGTCCTCGGCTTTCGCCCGTCGCTTCAGCCGTGCCTCGGCGTCGCAAAGCCCGCAGGCGGCGACCTGTCAAAGGCGTGGGCCCTAATACTGAATAGGGTTCCTTTGAAGAGTTCCCTTTCAGGGGTTCTATAAGGGATCTTTAGTAGGGGTCTATGATATAGGGACCTGTATAGTTAGAATAGGGTTTAGCAAGGGTTTTGGGGTTTAGGGCTTAGAGGTTTAGGGTTGAGGGTTTAAGGGTTTAGGGTTGAGGGTTTATATAAGGTTTAAAGGTCTAGGGTTTAGGGTTTAAAGGTTTATGTTTTAAGGGTTTAAGGTGGAAAGGCCCAGGGTTCACAGGGTTTAGTAGGGTTTTAGGGTTTAGTAGGGTTTTAGGGTTTAGGATTTAGGGTTTTAGGGTTTAGGGGTTTAGGGTTTAAAGGTTTAGGGTGTAGGGTTCAACGGTTTAGGGTTGAGCGTTTGAGGGTTTAGGGGTTTAGGGGTTAGGATTCAGAGTTTAGGGTTCAAGGATCTAGGGTTCAACGGTTTAGGGGTTTAGGAGTTAGGATCTAGAGCTTAGGGTTTAGGGCTTTAGGGTTTAAGGGTTTAGGGGTGTAGGGTTTAGGAATTAGGATCTAGAGTTTCGGGTTTCAAGGTTTAGGGATTAAGGGTTTAGGGGTTTAGGGCTTTAGGGTGTTAGGGTGTTAGGGGGTTAGGGTTGTAGGGTTTAGGGATTTGGGGTTTAGGGCCAAAGGAGCAAGGCTCTAATCAGGATCTTGCTATCATCGGATGGCTATGCTGTCCAGAAGAACACCATTGCTTAATATGTTTAGTGGCCGTATTATTAGTATTCCGACTCTACTACTGTACCACTACTACGTCGACGACTACCACCAAAATACTAGTTTCTACTACGACGACGAGTACTACTACCACTTCCACTGCTCCTGCTACTCCTGCTACTCCTACTACCCTACTCTTACTACTCAGTTACTACTCCTACTCCGACTCCTGCTGCTGCTGCTACTACTACTACTACTACTACTACCACTACCACTACCACTACCACTACCACTACCACTACCACTACTACTACTACTACTACTACTACTACTACTACTACTACTACTACTACTACTACTACTACTACTACTACCACTACCACTACCACTACCACTACTACTACTACTACTACGACGACGACGACTACTACTACTACTACTACTTCTGCTACTGCTACTACTACTACTACTACTACTACTACTACTACTACTACTACTACTACCACTATTACCATCACCACACAACCACCACGACTACTACTTCTTCTACTTCTACCACTACTATCAACTACTACGACGCGTGGGCAACCTTCAGCACCACAACGAACTTCGCCACGGTTTTTCTATGGGCGAGGTTTGTGATCCAATGATTCGCTGAACCGTCAGTGTTAATTGTCTTTCTGGTCCCCTAAATATGGCTTCGTGTGATCAACCTCATGCATGGTCAAGCCCCCTGTCCCAGCTTGCCGATGGCCTCTGCGCGGCGCGGCACTGGCTCCGCGTATCGATAGCGAAACAGGACCTGTCGTGCGGAGCGGAACAGCGTGGAAAGCCGTCTTTCGAGGCTGCTTACCTGGTGCCAGTAATCGTCTGGCCTGCATTAGAAGCGTGAAAGTCTCCTTGAACTCCATGATTTTCTCCTGCAGGATATACAACTTTCAGAAACAGAACCTCAAATATAGAACACCTAGTCGGTAACCCAGAACCTCATAGAATCAAAAAGCTTCATATATGTTAAGACTGCGGTCTCGAATCGAAGGCTGCCAGTTGGGGGCTGTTCTTGAAGCGAAGACATCTTGCACTTGCAACTACCAGCTTGTACAGTTTGTGGTTTGGGGCTTGGGGGGCTTTGCTGCTAGATAAAGGTCCTTGGATTTGGCCACCATGAGATGCTCCAAGTAGGCCTGTCAGCACATCAAGGGTTTCCTTTCTTTCTGAACGACCACCACCACCACCACCACCACCACCACCACCACCACCACCACCACCACCACCACCACCACCACCACCACCACCACCACCACCACCACCACCACCACCACCACCACCACCAAGACCGCGACCGCGACCCACGACCACGACATACCGCCACCACCACCTAGATCAGCAACTGCAATCGCAAGCATCATCACTGGCCACTATATTATTTCATGTTGGTGTCTCAGTCACCATGATCCTCATCATCCTGTCCTTCTCAGACTGCTCATCGTCATCATCATCATCATGATCGTCATAATCCCTTCCCCCAAAATGCAACGGGGGGCCCCCAATAGAAACTGTGAAAAAGCTTTTGCTATTAGGGTGCATTTTTGTCTCTGCTGTCAATTTTGAGGGCTCTTGCTCTTGCTCCTGCACTTTTGCTCCTGCTCCTGCTACGTCTGTTGCTCTCGCCCCTGCGCCCGCTCTTGCTGTTGCTCCTGCTCTTCCTCCTTTTGCTCTTACTCTTGCTATTGCTTTTGCTCTTATATACTCCAGCTCTTTCCTTTGCTGTTGCTATGATTCTTGCTCGTACTCCTGCTCTTACGTTTGCTCTTGCTCCTGCTGTTGCTCCGGAAATTAGGTTTTAAAAGGGCAGGGATGATTTCGGGAGGATCGGCCTCAAAGTGTCGCTATGGTGGTGTTTAATAAATGGGGGATAATCAATGGGGGAAGGGATTAGTCAGGTATCATCATCAGAATCATCATGCTCTTTTGAGTTGTGGTGCATCTCTCAACGCCCCGTTGCCAGGAATGCTACTACTACTGCTGCTGCTGCTGCTGCCGCTGCTGCCAAAGCTGCACATTTACCGTCACTATCGCCCACAAGCATGATCCCGACGAGAATTGCCCGGCCTCCAATCCCAGAACTTTGGTGGAGCGAACACCCTGGGCAGCATCTGGCAGATGAAAAAACCTCAGCTTAGGGCCTTTATGGTTTAGGGCCTAGGGTTTGGGGAGCAGGTTCTTTCGCAAGATCAAGTTGACTCGAGCACGCGGCTTGAAGCTGTACTCCGCAATGCCAGAGTCGCTGACTCCACACGGGCGCCAGTTGCTAGCCCCGGCCGACAATGCACAACACCTACCTAGATGTCCGGATGCGTGCGAGGCTCATTCGGCTGGCCTTCCAATGGATGTGCTCAGGAACCATGGCCTCAGCTTGTCAACAGCAAGGATCCGAGGTGGGCAGTTCAAGCAGGGACTGGTATAGGGGTAGGGGCCTTAACAGTTAGAATAGGCTTCTGGGGGCCCATTACCGTGAACTCTGAAGCCAATACTCTAAGATTGCAAGTGGCAGAAATTGGTAGATCCTAGCTGAGCACGCGTGCGATCGAAGAACTGGCAACATGCCCTTCCATGGACACATACTGTAAACTCCTTCAAGGAACCGCAAGCCCTGCGAGGAGCTCTAAACACTGCAAACCCTAAGTCCAAATAAGTGCTCGGCCAAGGCACATGTGCCACATATGCCAGCGAATAGATCAGGGCCAATGGTGGGAAGGGATGCTCGGAGAAATCTCCACCTCTTCAGCCGCAACAAAAAGGAAGAAAGTTCAGGGTTCAAAGTTATGTAAGGGAAAATCAGAGATGATATGCATACCAGCGCCCAAAACCTTTCAAAACCGTTTCCGTGAAGACAAGTCACAGAGCATGGTGAAGTGGTAGTGCTTGAAAGCAGCCTCTCGAGTCTCATGAGTCCCGTCCTCGATGTAGACATGCTGAGCGAGCATGTCTTCCTTCACTGACCTTGCATGTTGAGCCGAAACTCTTGGAGTCCCGTGAAACCTAAACCCCTAAACGCAAATAAGCCCATGCCCTAAACCCTAAACCCTAACCCAAATAAACTCATACCCTAAACTCGAAACCCTCAAGTTGAGGTAAGCTTCGAGCTGTTGGGAGAGAACCCAAACGTCCAAGACACGCTGTGGCAGTCATAGAAAGAATATTTGCATCATAATAAGAAACTACTTGCCAACTAAGAGCCTGCATAAATAGTAACCCTAAACCCTAAACCCTAAACTTATAATAGCATCGGGTTCCTTACGGCTCCTGATTGTATTCATGGTGCAGCATACTCCAAGCCCTTCTCGAAGTATTAAGACCCCTGCCTGACTGGAGTGTCTGTTTCTTCCCTTTGCTGAAGGGTCTGCTTCTTCTAACTCCGCCCATGAATCCTAAACCCTAAACCATTGTGACGTTTTGCTATGTTATAGTATTATACGATTCCAGTACATCGCATTATCCTGCCAGTTGCGCCGTAGCAATTTGCCATCAAACCTGTAACCTCAACGAAATCCTCTGCCTGCCGGGCTGCTCTGCAAACAGTCGGGTGCCGTTGGGCCCTGCGCAGTAGCTGTCCTTCGCAGCACTGGGCTCTCTCTGGTGTCGTTGGGCGCCTGAATGATTAGAATGGGGTTTTCCGGGCCCATGATACAGTAAGTATAATCACGAACCCCCGACATAGTCTTGAGATTTATGTAGGCCCCTATCGTATGTGGTTTGGGTTCTGTCAGTCTAATCTCAGGATCTCGTACACAGAAACCGAGGATCGACGTTGCTTTAGGGTTTAGGGTTAAAGTTGCTATGCTGGAGCCTCATAGGCAACAAGGTCACGACGCGCTGCCGAGTTGTCGAGTCCAGGGTGGACAAGCGCCGGCCGAGATTGGGTATAGGGTTTTGGGTTCTTCGGGGTTTAGGGTTTAAAGTCGCTTAGGGTTTAAAGTCGCACAGGTTTCGGGTTCTAGAGTGTTAGGATTTCAGGATCTTACACTTTATCGGGATTTAAGACTTTAAGGTTTATAGGGTTTAAGGGTGTTAGGGTTTGGGGTTTACTTTTTCACTGTCGGGATAGGATGAAACATGTACATTTTTATTCCTTATTGGGTTCAAGTACCCATAAAAATGTAAAATGTTACCCAACTATGACAAAGTTTAGGGCTTTAGGATTTCGGGATTTTAAAAAAGTCTTCGGGCTCTCACTCTGCTAGGACCCGGCGATGAAGTTCTCGACGGACTGCACGTTCCCGACTTAGGGGTTTAGGCTTTCGGGGTTTAGGGTTTAGGGTCTTAGGTACTGTAAGGGGCCTTAATGTTGATAATACTACCAATTTTAACAATAAGACCGCATATCTTAGTTTCAGTGTCAGTGTGCATGCGGCTGTAAGGGACTACTTTCGCAAGTATTGAGACACCCCAAAGTATCATATAGCTGCAGCTTCTGCTTCCCAGGTGAAGGGATTAGGATCTTGGAGAGGAACCAACTACTAGGATTCAGGGTGCAGGGTTCAGGGTTGAGGGTAAGGACTTAACGTTACGGTTCAGGGTGCCTGAAGCAATACATGTATTTGGGTTGCGGTGATGTTCCTGCGAAAGGAAGTAGACGGAGAGCGTGTACTTCTTTCTGTAGGCCACGGTCGTGGGAAACTCCTGAAGCGGAGCTTTCGAGACATGTTGGTTCCAACATGAATTCCGGCACAGGCATTATCAATCATGCTCGAGCCTAGGAGAGACATGTGAGTGTGTATGTATGTACGCATGTGTGCACGTATGCATGCAAGCATACATGCATGTATGGAGACCGCCGCCGCCGCCGTAGGTATTGTGGGTAAGGAGATAGCAGGCCACAAACGGAGAAATACAAAGCGGCAACGAGAGATCACATGTAGGTTTCTTCCTTTGCTTGTATCTACTTTGGAGTAGAATGATACGGTGCATTTGTGGTATCAGGTGCCTCAACCCTAAGCCGTAAACCCTGTGATCTGCGTTGCTCTGCTGAGGTGCTGGGATGGCATCGAAGAAGAAGCGCCGTGGCTCACCAGGCAAAGCAGTGCCGGGGGCAAAGTCCTGCTCGGGTTTATGGATTTAGGCTTCAGGGTTTAGGGTTGAGGGTTTAGGGTTTATGGACAGTTCGTCAGATGCTTTCGACTCCAACTTGAACAGTCTTCGCAATCCGTATGTTAGCGCCTGAAGCCCAGACACCATCCACCGACTGTAAACTCTGAAACCCTGAACTCTGAACCTCAAACCCAAACCTCAAGAACCTAAACCACGAAAGCCTGAACAGGAAACATTCGAAGCTTCATGGAGCGACTGGACACAGTAAGTTCCGAGTGTCCTGGTCAGGCACCGACGCCGAAAAAACCGGAAGTAGAGGGTCCTGGATGTGTTTTAGTTTTCTTGAAAAACTACCCGTTTAGGGCTTAGGGTTTCTGATTTCGTGTTGCCTGGCTGCATGAACCTTCAAGGAGCTGCGATGGCGCGTGAAGACTACATACACACTCCGGTAATAGTTATAGTAATAATAATAGTTATAGCTATAGCAATAGTAATTGTTATAGTAATAGTAATAGTAATAGTAATAGTAATAGTAATAGTAATAGTAATAGTAATAGTAATAGTAATAGTAATAGTAATAGTAGTAGCAATAAGTAGTAATAGTAGTGGTGCTGAAACACCAACTTGAAGCATCCGGTAGCTTATGAACTAGAACTCACACCTGCTGCCTTGTCCACGAGTTGCAGCACAGACCACAGACTGCATTTCACGAGACATTGGGTTGCCGTGCGGCAGGCAGAAGAGGCCAAGAACGATTGAAATTGAAATAAGTTTGGCAACTCAATCACCCTAAACCCTAATTAAACGGAATCGTCCTCCACCTCACTCAGTATGCCCTGCACAGGCAGCTGAGTTCTGCTTTGGCCGGCAGCTTGAAAGGCAACGTAGCAGTCCGCACCAGGCCTTCCGGGCAATATAATATAGGGCCTTAACAATTAGAAACAGGGTTTTGGGGCTCCTTTATAGGGCTCCTTTAAGAGGGTCCTATAAGAGTTGCTTTTAGGGTACTATGATATAGGGGCTTTATCATTAGAATAGGGTTTTGGGGCTCCTTTATAGGGTTCCTTTAAAAGGGTCCTATACGGATGACTTTTAGGGTACTATGATCTGGGGGCCTGAATATTCAGAATAGGGTTTTGGGGCTCCTTTAAGGGGCTCCTTTAAAAGGCTCCTATAAGGGTTACTAGACAGGTACTATGATATAGGGGCCTTAATAAATAATTGGAATAGGGTTTTGGCGCCCAATATACTATTAGTACAAGAAGGCAACCGATGTAGACATGGTCACTTTGCCAGCGAAGGATGTTGAGTTCCTAGACGATGAACTGCAGCAAGGAGTCATGTCGACCCAGGACGCATGCCGCATGCAGCTGCGACTCTCAGCACCGCGGCACATTTAGTAACTATCGCGCCCGTCCCACCAACAGCTGTCCTGCAGAAAACAGCATTCATGATCAAAACATCCATCTTCCTAGCCCAACGAATGCAGCCAAAAACGCTGGTATCCATCCTCGAGACCTGTGTTTCGAACCCTGATAATTCCTAAATGCCACAAACTTTTCGCACCTACTACCAGCATCAGATCCGGAAGCCTAAACCCGAATCCCACCCCCAAAGTCCCAAACCCCAAACCCAAGTCCTTCAACCCTACACCCTCATTTGTCATTCTAACCCCTAAATCCTCAACCCTAGACGTTATATCTGTTGTAGCCATTGTGCGGTAGCTCGGTCGCATCGCCAGGGATCAGGGACACGCGGCTCTCCAGCGGTGAAGATCCGAAGTCTGAGCCTGACTTAAAGGGTTTTAAGTAGACCCAAGAGTAACCTGGGAACAAAAAGGGTGGTTTAGGGTTTTTCGGGATTCGGGAATAGGGTTTTAATTGCAGGGTTTTCTATTTGGCGCAGAGGCTAAGACATTCGTGCTTGGGGTGTCGCCACAACCACTTCCTACTTAGTGGCTGAGTGCTTTTCCTAGGGATTAGAATGCAGTCTTCGGGGCGTGGGCATAGCAGCTTTGTTTTCATAGCTCTCTGTCTAGGGTTAAGAAACTAGCATTGGGGTCCAGGCAGTACTTGTTCTGTCCAGCCTGCCGGGTTTATTGTCCATAATAAAGTGTTTGGGGCATGAGGGAAATATGCGGGTGGGCTGGCGGCGCGGATGAGCACCTGGACTTGGGCTATCCACTTTGCCTTGGTAGTAGGAGGGAGCCATGTAGGCTCCCCTGTGCAGGTCTTCGAATGCAGAGCGGGAAGGCGAAAATGCTGAAGACTACGATAGCTGGTGCACCCTAATCCCAAAGACTCGAAACCTTCTGAAGTCTCTGTCACATAGGGGCGTGACTCATGAGTGCCAGTATCCCCGCTGTAGTCCCCACATCACCATAGCATCATACACCCCAGAATCCTATTCGACCTCAACCCTTGAACCCTTACTTAAAACCTACATCAAACCCCACATCCAAAACCCTAAATCGATTTCCGTGACGAGCCGCAATTTAAAGTACGGGGCTCGTCCTCCGCAACACAGGCAAAGGCTCTTCTCTGGAGATTAAGGGGTTGTTTAGGAGGGGTTTGGGGCTTTGGGCAAACACTTACAAATGGTAGTGCTTTGGGGCTTTAAGGCTTCGGAGCTTTAGCGGCTTTAGGTGTTGAGAGGCTTTAGGTGTGGGTTTAAGGAGCAGGGGACGTGGGTTCAAATGTGCTGCAGGTCATGTCTTTTGGCAACATCTGAGTCTGCCATTTCCGGAAACAGCGATACGCGGACGAATTTGTCAACCACGCCTCCCCACACCCCCCCAGCCTACGACATATGCCCCGGAGTCTGAGGCCTTCCCATAGACCGACGGGGCAACGGGCTTCTTACCAAGGCTCAGCCGGTGCACGACTACTTCCTGCCTACATCGAGCCATTGCGAGCTTCTGGAACCTGCGGGGTCTCAAGAGCTGATAATAATTAGAATAGGGAGTTGTGGGTTTCGGGGGTTAGGGGTTTGGGGGGTTGGGGGTTTAGGGGGTTTAGAGGTTCAGGGACTAAGAGTGTGGGAACATTATGGTACAGTAGAAGCCAGAAAGTTGGAACATTATTATCCTCATGCCCCTAAGGGGAAATAGAGGTAATCCTAGGACTAATCCTCCCAAAGCCATGTTCCAACTTTCTGGGGTTCACTATATAATCATAATATGGAACCCCCCAAAATAGTATAGGTAATTTTTTAGGCCCCTAGAGTACCGAAGCTCTGTGCTGACGATCCAGATGCTAACTCCTTTTCCGGCGCCATAGCAGTCTGAAAGCTTCTGGGTGCTGAGGTTGCTTCAAGCTGTAAGCATGATGTCATACATCTACTGCGAACTCACGCACTCCAGCCGGACTTTTGGCGAAAGACAGATCGGCATTCACAGCACTTTCCGGCGTCTCTAAACAAGAACTTTTGAGAGCACTCTATATGAACGTGCATGCAACTGCTGCTTAAGCCCCTATTATAGGTGCCTCAACAACTAAAACTAAGGTTGCCTCCAGGTAGCCCCCTTCTGTCCTCCAGTGGCGTCTTTGGCCGCTGGTATCCCGGCAACATCGCATAAAGGTCCATGGGCGTGACGCCCAGCGCCTAAGGATTGACAGATGGGCTGAACTGCATCAGGGTGTTCACAGGACTTGGTGGGTAATGTCAGGCTTTAATCATCGGGCTTAATGGGACTATCGGGCTTAGTAGACTTAGTAGAGCTTATCTGGGACACAAAATTTTTAGAGGAGTAGATGCCGAACGTGACAGAGTAGGGCCGAGTAAGCCAAGAAGCATTGGCTAGCGAAATGCGTCATGAGGCCCACGGCAATTGTGATGACTAAACTTAGACAAGGAAGTCTGGTACCAAGCCAGACCAACACCCCAAACCCCTAAACCTAAACCCCTAAAGCATGAACCCCTAAACCAACATTGTCTAGACCAGATCTGGAAGCCGTCCATGGCTTGCCTACAGTCAGGAGGTAGACAACTGAGCTACGGCACAGCTGTGGCGCGCAGATGAATCCGAGTTCTCTATGCAGCAGTTGATATGTCCCGACATTTCAGGCACCTTGAGGTATTCTGCTTTGACATAGCTTGTCCATGAAGGATTGCCAACCAAGGGTGGCGTCGGGTCGTCGTCCACCTGCGGACAACTCCACAGCAAATCCGTTAGAACGGGCGCGTACTGAAGATCCGCTGGGAAACCCTAAACCCTAAACCCGAACCCTAATCCTAGAACCCTAAACCGGTGGGAAACCATAAGCCCTAAACCTGAACCTTGATAAACCCTCATCCTACAGCCCTGAACCATTCTGCCTCGTTCGCTGCGAACGCGCAGAATTGCGGGCGTCCACACCACTCGATGCAATTGCGCTCGTCGTCGCCTCACAGGGGCTACGACGAGTAAGCACGTAGAGCTGGGAGATGAAGGTTTAAGGTTTTAGGGTTTAAGGGTTTAGGGCTTAGGGTTTAGGGCTTAGGGTTTAGGGTTTAAGGGTTTCGGGTTTAGAGTTTGGGGCTTAGGGCTTTGGGTTTGGGGTTCAGGATGGGCAGAGAAATCTGTTTGGAGGTGTAATGTGCGCAGGGGCATCGCATGAGTGGGACCATGCATCTTCGCCTCGGTCTTTGCAGAGCAAACCCTGTCACGGCATTCCCATGCCTGTGTAGCGCATGTATCCCGCGCAAAGGTTCTCGCCGTCGCAGATGTCCCTGACACGCAGCTCCAGAAATGCTTCTACAACCTGATATAGGGGCCTTAATGTTAGAATAGGGTGTTGGGGCCCATTACACTAGAATTGTGATGAGGGGCCACAAACTATAGGTAATTTTCGTATGTAGGCCCCGATATTACGGCACCCCCTCTGGTCTGACCAGTTCGCGGTAACACATCTGTCACGCCCAAGCAAGCACAGACCTCCGCATGACCCCAATCCAGACCGGCGAAAGGAGCCCTGCTAGATCAAACCTGATAGCCACGAAATGTCTACCCAAGGCCAAACTCATTTAAAGCTGATTCAAGGTTTCGGGCAGGGGATCGCTAAACCTCATCATCCCCAAGCACCACACCATGGAGGTCCGGAATGATATCTCGAAGCGCTTCCCCCATGACTCATGACCGTGGTGTAATTATGAAAGGCCCCATATATTATCACAATATACCTCAAAACCGTATTCGAACTAATTGTTAAGTCCCCTGTATTATCATGGACGAGCTGGTGCCTAAACCATAAAACCTAAACCCTAAACCCCTAAGCCCTAAACGCTAAACCTGCCTGGCATCTCTCTCCAACTCATCGCTCCACTTCACACCAACGTCGCCGATGGGCAGCTGGCCTTGGAGCCTGGGTTTGGAATTCAGGGTTTAGGCTTTCGGGCTTAGGGCCGCGGGTTTTAGAGTGTGGGGTTTAGGGGTTATAAGGTTTAGGGTTTAGGATTTCGGGCTTAGGGTTCAGAGTTTGGCGTTTAGGGGCTGAGGTTAAGGATTTAGGGTTCAGGGTTTAGTGGTTAAGCTTCAGCGTGCTGTCGACATTCTTTCTAGCGCCAGCGTCGGCTGTTTGCTACAATGCTCGGCTCCATGTAAATAATAAAACCCCCGTACACATAAACAACTCTTGGCGCAATCCTGCCGAAATCATCTAAATCGGAGTTTCCGAAAATGGGGGACCCTAGTATAGTACCCTAAATAGTAGGATTCCTGCTATAAGGACCCCAAGATAAGGTACCACTAATTTTCGGATACTCCCAAATCTCTGTAAGCCGGGCGTCTCCAGGCAACGGATGCTTCTCAGTTCCACGAAGTGGCCTCCAGTGAGAGCAGGCCAACACTCTACCCTAAGGGTCCATAATACATATAATACTTTGGCCTTATAAAGTACTCCCTATACAGGCTCTATACCCTAAGGGTCCATAATACATATAATACTTTGGCCTTATAAAGTACTCCCTATACAGGTACACTGGGCCCAGATTACATACTATTTTGGTACATGGGCCCTCCGGGCTGGGAATTCCTTGAGAATCAGGAGCTCCGGATGAATCTAAACGCTTCTGGCCCTATGTTCAAAGCCTACACCTACCCCCCCAACTAATAATTACCCGCTATGATACTCCACTATTAAGGACCATAAGGGCTCGATTAAAGGGTACTTGGGTGGAGCAGGTATACCTAAACCCTAAACCCTCATCCCTCAGCCGAGTTGCCGCAGGACAAGCACACACAGGCTGCAAACGCCAGGGCAGCGCGCCGTGGCGGCATCTAAAAAAGGGGTCTAAAGGGTTTATTTTATTGGGTTCGATTAGCATTCTAAGGGTGCTAATATATGGGGTTTGTCGGCATGCCGAGACTAAGCAGATTCAAGCTGTGTAAGTGTCTATAGGGGTCAGTTGCATAAGGACTGAGGGCCTGGGACATTGCAACTTTGCTACAATTGAAGCTCTTGTTTCTGCAACTTGTGTGTGTGTCTTTAGGGGCCAAACTGCCACTTAAAGAGCTGGTTAACTCTCGGGGCTGATGGGGACAACGATTGCTGCGGTCCTCGCTGCTGTCTATTTTATACTGGCAGAAGGCTGAACATCCGTCAAGCTGAGCCCGGGGAGCTCACATGTCGCACCAGCAGGCTTCTGACGAGTTGCAAGCAGCTCTCGCGACTACTGTATCAAAGCTTGCCGACAACAACAACAACGACAACGCATTCACCTCCACCACAACACGCACCTGTCAGGAATCACCACGCAGCATGCTGTTTTGGAGTGCCCCACCTTGAACGATGAAACCTTCATGCCAGACACGACACCCTTCGGCCTTCACCCTAACAGCTGGTCTACCCCCCAAACCCCCACGAAGCTAGGTGCCCTAGTCAGTGTCAAGGAGATATCGAAGAGCCCTTCGAAAGCCCAGGCCCATAGACCTTCCATGTGGAATGAACACGAAACGCACCAGGCACAAAACCGGTTCATCCCGAAGCCTCAACCCCAAGCAACCTCCTCGACCCACGTGGTGCCCATGAGCTTGAATCGCAACTTGCTCTCAATCATGGCCATGGCCCTCACTGCCCACAGTGAGCAACCCGAAAAACTCACACAAACACACGCACACACAAACGCACAAACACACGCACGATCAACCCAGCCTTATGAGAACTGGGAAAGACAATCGAAGCCGAATCCTTAGTCCTACCCTAAACTATGGGACTTATGATATATTTCTTATTATGGGTCATGCAGGATTTATATCATCCACCGTATCAATCCTTTAACCTTATCGCCAGCCTAATCCCAAACCCCGAGCCCTCTATGAAACCGCTTTGGGCTCCCGGCGCAGGCTCAGGAGTCTCAGGTGTGGTCATCCTCCTGTCGTTTAAGGTTTATAGGGCTTAGGCCCTAAACCCCTAAACCCCTAAACCCCTAAACCCTAAACCCCTAAACCCTAAACCCCTAAACCCTAAACCGTGTTTAGCCTTCAGCCTTCCGGGCTTTAGGGCTTAGGGCTCTTGGGTTAAGGAACTTATCAGGGATTTAGTCTGTAAGCTGTTGTGGCAATTGGGTTTGAAAGGCTGCTTGTTCGGAGGGTGCTTTATGTTTCCGGGCTGGAGGGTGCTTGAGGGCTTTTTGGAACTTCGAGCGTTTTGGTGTGTAATAGGGTTCCGGGACTTTGGGCTCTGGTTTCGGTGTCTCAAGGCAGTTGTGGGTTTTGAGTTGCTCAGAAAATGATCTCGTAGGGTGTCATGTGCGCAGGACAGGGCAGCGAGATGCCCTGCTCCTTTAACTCCTTTAAGCTCGCGATTTTGTAAGGCCTGAGCCTCTTCGAAGTCGTCCATGGCCTTTCACAGCTTTTTTACGTGTCCTTTCACCGCTTTTTACATCTTCCTAACGTGGACACAGCGTGACATCTGGCTCTGGCTTACAACCAGGCAAACCCGACATTCAGTTCCTGTTGTGCCATCCTACTCAGCTCTCCTTCATGCGGCAACCGCAGCGGCCAGACATGCGTGCGATGTGCGTATGCTAACACACCCGTCGTGAAAAGAACTGTCGACAGTTGATCACCAAATCCGGCACTGCTCGTGTTCCTGCTTACGGGAAAATAGAGAGACAGAACAAACACATCGGCGTCAGTTCTAGCTCTAGTCCTGACCCAAACGGCACCCTGACTTCATCTTTGTGAACGGATTTCTGAACATTAGCCGACAGAGGTCACCCTTGACCTTCCACGGCTAGGAGGCTAGAGTCCCTCCGAACCCTCGCTAACCCTAAACCCGAAAATACCTTGAAAGCCCTAAACCCCTGAACCCCTAAATCCTGAACCCTGAACCCTACACAAAAACTGCCAAGCGGGGCCGGGGGCAGCTTTCTTCTACAAAGAAGCCAACGGCGAGCCGATAGATGCGGAAAAGAGCAGATATACGAGAATCGACACCACTTAGGGGTTTATGTTTAAGGTTTTAGGGTTTGGGGAGCTATTGTGGCAGCGTCTTGCATGGAAGTACGTCCAAGCTACATTCCATCTCTATATCCAGACTGCGCAAGGCTTAAAGAAACCTAGACCGATCAAGTTTATGTGGAACAGCTCATGCCGGCGAAGCGTT